ATAATGATTTAAATGGTTTATTAATAAACGTGCGATTAGTCGACTAATGCTTAAAATGAACGACTACTGGTCGACCAGAAAAATCCTTAGTCGAGGGCAGCCCTAGTCTTAATAACTACTATTAATTTTGAATTTAATCATTTAAGATTTACATGGCTAACATTTATTGAATTTATTTCAATTAATATTGTTATTATTTAAAAAAAATAATAACATTTTATTTCTCCTCTTTCCTACTACTTGTTTCACTTCTGTTTCTTTATTTTTAGTGTATGTATAGGTAGTATTTATAAAGTTTTAGCTTTTAGTTTCGGATCTGTTTTTAGTTGTTTTAATACTACAATTGATTGCTTCTGTTGTCCTCATGTGTAAGTCGCTTTGGATAAAAGCGTCTGCTAAATGACTAAATAAATAAATAAATAAATTTAAGAGCAAGTAAGTTTTGGGAGCTCATTTTAGAATGTGAACTCTCAAAACTTACTGCCAGATTCTGGAAGATAAATTCTTGAAAGAGTGGTACGAAAGGGATGTGAGGCTGTTCCTTCAAGAGTGACTCTCAACTTATCTGTCCATAAAGCCTTTAAAAAAAAAAATCAGTCTTCATGTATTTCACAAAACATCAGCATGTTATTCTTATTAAGTGAGGGTCATTTTTTTTTTTAGGATTTTTTACCCAAGCAAAGTCTCTGAGAACCTGACACATTGCACTCTGGAGACTCCAGGTAGGTTGCAGTTCTGGAAAATGGTGGCGTTGGAGACTAAAGGGTTCCTGATGGTTTCACACCTAATTCTTCACCTTAATTCTTAATTCTTTTTCAGTTAACGTGTCTTTTTTTCTCCACCTGTTTTTTTCTGACCGTGCTGACCCAATGAGCATTTTGCTGTCTAATGGTCATGCCTTAACTTTGCAAATTCTAGTATTGCATCCTTCTCATGGGCATTTAATAATTTTTGACTTTCAGTCTGAGTTAAATCACTTTTTTGGCTCATTTTATCTGTAAAAGAAAACCTGCCTAATAATTATGCACACCTGAATATAAGGAGTTCCCTTTCGAATGGGAACTCTACGCTGCGTCCTCTAGAGGGCGCTTTGGGGAATGTCTTTGGCATGAAGCATGAGTCTAATCATGACAATGAACTTGACATTGGCAGGCTGCAGCCTATGACGTCACAAGAGGTGCGTCCAAGAGTATAAAAGAGCACCTGTAAAAAATGTCATCCTCTTTCTTGTCTTCAAGGAATCCGTTTTTCTAAGTGTGTGATCTAGTCAAATTACAGCAGAACTATGGCAAGCACCAGCACAGCTCAGCGTTTCTTGACACCTGATGACACGCATGTTATGTGCGTTATATGCATGGGCGAGGAGCATGCACGCTCAGTTCTCGAGGGGGCTGTTTGCGTGCATTGCGAGCGCTTTTCGTTGAGAAAGCTTTGCTCTCGTCTGTCCCTTTTCTTGAGGGAATCGGGACAACCATCTCTATCCCGTGGTTCAGGACCTGCTGCAGCCGAGGCAAGTAGGAGACTGCAATCGTGAGGTTCGCAGGTGGAGCTTGCCGACGAGTTTGAAAAAGGTATGAGTTTTTCTCATTCGTTGGCGGCGGGCGAGAGCGAGCTACGGGATGATGACGTGCTGTCACTCACGTCATCTGATCCGGCAGCGAGCGCACTCCTCACCTTAAGCCAAGATGAGCAGGAAGAGGCTGTTGAGATTGACGATGTTTCTGAGCACTCACATCCCGCCTGCCCCGCATATGACGAGCTGTTGGATGTTATGTCTCGTGCTACAGAAAGATTAGATCTGCCGTGGAGGCGTGAGAAGCGCGAGCCCCCTCGTGGTCGCCTCGATGAACGCTTTATGTCAGGACATAACCGCCCAGCTCGTACGAGTCTTCCCTTTCTGCCAGATCTTCACACTGAGGTGCGGAGAGCCTGGGGAAAGCCATATTCTGCTCGCATTCACTTTTCACAAGCAAACTATGCTGATGTGGAGGGAATGCAGGAATATGGATGTGCGTCGATGCCTCCGATTGAAGAGACACTGGCTAGCTTTCTCTCGGTGGGTGAGGTATCCGCATTGAAGACGCCGTCTCTGCCGACTAAAGCCGCTGCGGGTTACGTCACGGCTAAACGGCAGAGCATATGCGGCAGCAGGTCAGGCTGGTGCGGCTTTGCACACGATGGCCGTGTTGCAAGCCTACCAGGCTGACCTGCTGAAGGACCTGGACCAGGGCCGGGGACTC